AATCAAAGCAAAGAAAGACACACATCTTTATCCATCTGGTTTATTTGCCAATTGCTATAATTCTGGTTCTACTGACCTCCCCCTGTCTGTTAGATTGTCACTAAGGAAGGGTCAAGGAGACAAGTTCAGAATTTGGGCTGGGAAAGGGGAAGGCGGTGGGACAGCTGCAGCTGAGCCCCTCAGGAGTAACTGCCTGGCCCTCCCAGGGGGATGACGAAGACCGAGATGTCATCCCCGGAACCCAGCTTGTTGTTGGGAAGACGCCAGCCTCGGTCCCGTGGGGTGCCCCGGGCCCCCAGGACCAGAGCTTGGGCCAGAGCTGTGTACCTGCCAGGAGCACACAGGTACACTTATGCACCCACGTGTGTGGGGGAGACAGAGCCACAGGCCCACACGCGGGGCTGCAAGCGGGGCTCCCTCTGCCCCTTCCTTCACCACGCCATGCCCTCACCGCCTTGCCGTGCAACCCCTACCTGCTCGGGTCGTTGGGCTCATAGGCGGACAGCACCCTGTCCACTGTGCTGGCCACCTCACAGTCACTGGTGACGTCCCACAGCCCATCTGTTCCCAGCACTAGCACGTCATCTGGGCAGTGCTCATACTGTGTCAGGTCGTACACGCGCACCTGGCGGGGAAGATGGCGGGGAGAGCCCAGGTGTGGGGCTTGTGGGACAAAGCTCCGGATAAAGGGATCCTGGATGAAAGGCAGCCCAAGACCCCAGAGGAAGGAAGGTGTAGTTAAGGAGGACCCCATAGAGCTCACCTCAGGGAAGCAGGAGAGGAAGGGCTTGATGGGCAAGGTAGAACCGCAGACCTTAAGGTTGTGGTCTCCTAGTCCCCGAGTCACCCCAATGGTGGCCATCACTCTGGCCTGAGGGAAACAAGGAGGGTGCTGCTGTTTAGTCCTCTCCAAGACCCTCCGAAACCACAGAGCCCTCCTGCCCCTACCCACAGATACCACCTCCACCTCCCTAGAGCAGTGGGTTCTTCTGCCCTCTCCCACCTCTACCATGGAGTTTACCTTTTTGCCCTCCCCACACACCAGAGGAAACCTGAGATCCTCCAGCTCGATCCTTTTGTAGGCCCTGGGGAGGGGGATACAGGAGGCGTCATCCAGGCATGGAAGCCCCTGTCACCTTAGGAGCTGCTCACCCTCACGCAAACTCTTAGAAGGATCATGTCCCCCAACGCCCAGCCTGGCCCAGCCTCCAGTTCCCACCTTGCTGCTAGTGAGGGATTGGCTATGTTGCCATGGAAACAGCCCCAGCTCTGAGGGAAGTGTTACCAGCCAGTCATGTTCTGGTCCCTGTACAGCATCCTCTGGCCCAGTTCCTTGGGCTGAATTCTTCGGGGAAACTCGAGGTGGGTGAATTCACTGCCCAGCAGCTCTGGTTTCAGAAAGCCCTAGGGTAGAAAATAGCCAGACAGACCAGAAGGCCAGGAGGCATGATGCTCACAGCACACCCTGGGACAATGCACAGATGCTATTAATTATAGGCCCTTAAAGAAAGGTTACATTGTTGCGCACTACTCCAATATTAACCTAAATTAACTTGTTTACGCCTCCCAACAGCTCATGGGGCAGGAACTGCTGATGTACAGACAGGTTAAGGAAATTGTCAAAAGTCACAGCAAAGTACGCAAACCAGATTAGTGATTAAGCACTAAGCCATCCCACCTTCCAAGGCCTCTGCTGCTCCCTCCCCCAACTTCTGACTACTTCCTTCCTCGGCTGGGGCCACAGTGGGAACACAAAGCCAGCCCAGGCTCCTTCCTGCTGCCTGATGCCACCAGCTCAGCCAGTCTTGGACGCCTTAGTCCGCACAGCTGCCTTCCCAGGAGACGCCCATTAGGAAGCTTTCTGAGTGTGTGGTGGGGTGTGAGAGCGCTCGTGGACAGAGGGTGCAGAAAGGCACAAGGCCCAGTAAAGGCTGGGAGCAGGGAGTCTGGTTCCTACTCACAAGCAACTGAAGACGCTGGCGCTCAGTCTCCGGGGTAAACTCCCGGGACATTGGAATGACTTCACCATTTCGGACAATGATGGCTCTGCCCAGAGAGAGAAAATGCCTGGCTTTTCTCAGTCCCCTTCACGGAGAATTCCAGAAAGACCAGGCCCTCCCCATAATGACCCCTGGGATTCCTAACCCAGGCCCCATCTTTCCTCAACTCATGGCTAGGCTTCATAGTTACCTCCCCCTAACTTTGATCTTTAACCTCCACCACCTCACTCTTCCACCCTCCCCCACAGCTACTTTCAACACCCTGTTCCCCCATACCTGCTGTCGCCCGCATTGGCCACATACACCTTGCCTAGCAGGTACACCACAACCAGGGCACAGCAGCCCCCCTCCATGTGGTGGCCACGCCGCTCTTGGGCCATCTGCTCATCCTGCCGAGTGAGAAAGCGTCAAAGGGCGTGGAAGAAGCGCCTCTGGGCACGGAGTCACCCTCCCCACTGCCACCTGCAGAAATTACCTGGCCCAGCCAGGCCACATTGTGCCTTCTCCCTGCTCTCAAAAGCAAGCTCTGCTCGGGCTCTCAGAGGTGTTGTGGGTTCTCAGCGTTACCACCTCAGGCCACCTGACTGCTACACAGTTGACCAGAGCTGTCTGCCTAGCAGGCCCTTGGCCCAGGCCACCCACTCACCATGAGCTGGAAGGCATTCTCAATGGCCCCTATGACCAGGCTGTCATGGGTTACTTCCTTCTGCAAAGACCAGCAGGGCTGAGGACCAACCAAGTGACAGGGATCTGAGGAACCTGGGGTCCCAGGGGTAGATGGGAGGCAAAGAGGAGGTGGTGAGGGGTCCTGGAGTATTTCTACTAGGTCCTTTAGCTGCTCCTGGATGTGTCGATGCAATAGCCTAGAGGCCATTTCAGCAGCTCCTCCACCTGCATGTCCATCAAACAGGCCCCAGTAGTAGAAGCAGAGCCCCTGGTGGAGGAAAAGTTGGAGGTAAGCCTGTGTGTGTGTGTGTGTGTGTGTGTGTGTGTGTGTGTGTGCACATGCACATGCATGCACACATGTGTTGCAGGAAGAACTCTATAAGCATCCATATAAACATCAGCAGTCTGAACTTGGTATTAAAGGCAAATTAGATTTATTCATTTATTCACCTAAGGCCTCTTATATGTCAAAAGAAAGGAAAATCTCAAGGAAGCCAAAGTCAGAGGATGAAAGATGCAAAAATCAACAATGGTGATTAATTAAATCACCCATAAAGACACAAGCAGTTTAAGTGGAAAAGTAAACACTCACGCTGAGTCGAATCTAACAAATTAATCTCGGGTAAGGGTTCCATGGCAGAGGCAGAAAGCTAGGGGGTTAGAAGGAGCTCTTTTCCACATATTTCAGATATAAAACTGGCGGCCTGAAATCCCCGGGAAGAGGTGTCCCCGGGTCTCCAGAAGCTAGGAAAGTGGGTGAGGGCTTACCTGGCCTTGGCTAGGCTCTGTAGGGGCCCCTGAAACACTCCTGCGGCCTCCCACATACACCACTTCACAGCAAGCCTGGTCCTCATTGTGCCGGCTCTTGCCAGCGTTGATGACCCTGCCAGCCAGAGTAACCACATCAGGTTGGACACTAGATCAGGTCCTGGAATAACCCCACCTTAGACACACATCCTTTCCTGCCTGCTGGCCAAGCTGAGAAAGGTCACAGCCACGAGGGATCCAGGACAGAGGGAAGAGCCGGGTGGCCCTCAAGGAGTGCTGTCTCGGGGGCAGGCCCCTCCACCTCCCAGAGAGACTGCCTGCCTCAGCATCCTCATCTCTGGCAAGGGAGGCCTCCCCAGTGCTGCTGCTGAAGGAGGTGTCATGGGGGGCAAGACGATTTACCTTGTGGGCTGTCCCTTCCTTGCTAGGTAGGAGCCTATATCCCACTCCCAACTCAATCAGCTCTCCCAATACTTTGTCCCCAGCACCAGACTCAGGGCACACCTTACCCCAAAAACGACCCAGAGAAAGTTTCTGGTTCTTTGGCAGAGAGGAAGTGCTCCAGCCCAGATCAGGAAAGAGGAATTGAAAAAGAGCAGGAGTGTGGGCCCACCTGGAGCGGGCAGAAGCCACACAACCACGAACTCCTCCCACTTGGGAAGCTAAAGGAGATGGTGTCCAGGCCACGGGGCCACCAGACACCTCCCTCCATGCCCTCAGTGCCCCCTTTTCCGTCAGTGCCCAGCTTTCTCGGCACGTATAAGGACACGTAGCCTGGGAGCAAGCGGTTGTCTCCGGCCGGCCGGATGGGCAAGGGTCTACTTCTCCCCCGGCGCGCGTCGGGCGGCACAGGAGCGTCCGAAGGGGACTCTCCCGCTGCCGTGGGCGGCCGCCTCCCCCGCCCCGGGAGGACAGCAGCCTCTTGGTGTCGCGGGCTATTTCTGGGTCTGGAGGGGGAGGGGAACGGTAAGAGGGACAGAGAACTGGGGCGCTGGGGCCATGAAGCCGGTGAGCGAGTCCTTCCAACCGCTACCTCCCGGGAAGCAGCACCCCCGCCCCCCGCTCCCGCTCGCGCTCCTCCTTCCCCTCCCCCCTGAGCCCTAAACTGCCGGCCAGGACCGAGAACCGGCAACTCATTCTCGGCGCGGCCTCCGGGGGCCTCGGGGACGGAACAGGGTCCCGAGGCGGCGAGGGTGGGTGAGGGTGGTCCGCAAGCTGCAAGGTCCTGAAGAAGGTGATTCGGGCTGCAGCCGAACGGGCAGAGCCGGGAGGGGGTGCGGGCCGGAGCCCAGAGGATCGCAAAGGTCCTGGGGAAGGGGGGTCCTGGCAGCTGCACGGCGCGGGGTCGCACCCCAGCCCGGGACGCTCAAAGGGCAGGGGCAGGAGTCCCGTCCCGGTCTGGGTGCCCCGGGGGCGCTCACTCGGCGTAGCCCGTGCTCCAGGGCAGGCGGCGGCCCGTGTCCGGAGGGCTCTGCACAGCCCGGCCCGCGTGGTCGTCGGCGCGTCGCAGCCCCCCGGGGCTCAGCTGCAGGAAGGTCGGTCTGCAGAAGCTCGCTCGAGCCTCTGTGGTCTTCGCGGGCGCCCCGCTCCTGCTCCCGGGCCTCGCTGGAGGGCTTTTGGGCGCTTCTGGAGAGGCGGCGGGCTCCGCGGTCGCGCTGGGTAAGTCCGAGGATTTGGGGCTCGGAGGCGGAGCGCCCCCGGAGCTCACCAGGTGCGCCAAGGCCGAGCGCACCCGGTTTAGCATGCTGTCTCCCTGCCCCGCCCTCGTCCGCCCCGCCCCCACCAGGCCCCGCCCACAGACAGGCCCCGCCCCCGGCCCGAGTGGGCGGCGCTTCCCGGCCTTCGGCTCCGGACCCGCGACGCCGGAGCCGGACAGAAGTCTCCCAGGCTCTGCGCCACCCTGAGAAGGACCCCGCCCGCTTTTGGCCTTTCCCCCTTCCCATTTCGGCCTCGTCTTGCCCCTTTTTCTCGAGGCAAGAAGGGTCTGTTGTGGGAAGGGGCAGAGAAAAGGAAACTTTCATTTGTGCTGTAGGTTAGACATCAGCTAGAACTTCCCCATTGTGAGGGCGGACGACGCGGCGAGCGGGTCTGCAGGGCCTTGGAGCTGATGGCTTCAGAGCGGAACCGCAGCTCCGGGCCCCTGGGTGCGAAGCACCTGGTGTGATCACACCTCCGGCTGGGGCCGAGGAGAAGAGAGGCGAGAGGAGAAGAGAGCCGGGGTGTGTGTGTGTGTGTGTGTGTGGTGGGGGTAGGTAACTAAGCCGGCCTGAAGGCGCTGCTCCCTCTGAAGGCCACCTTCACATCGAGGCTGTTACTGACACCCCACTTGCTCAGAGCCGTGCCCCTCCCCCACCAAGTTAGCAAGGATGGACCGCCTCTAACCGAGTGAGCAAGCACAGCGTATGCACTCTTTATTGCAGGAGCACACTGGGCCTTACAAAGCATGCTCCATACCTTAGCGACCTATACCGCACACCAACCCTTCAAGTATACCCATTTTACAGGTAAGGCACCCCTGGACTCTCCTGCCATTTTACCTCTCTTGCCCCAAGAAGTCACACGGCCAATGAAAGCTTCATACTCATCTGTTCCTGACACTCAAACTCAGTTCCGATGTACCAACCGCGCTGTTCTCTCGGGGTGGGTGGGAAGGAGAAGATGGCAGGGAGAAGAATGGGGTTACTGGCTTCCCACCCTCCTACTAGGGCCCAGGCTGAGAGGGTGTCGGGATGCTGAGCAAGTTCTTCGGCTACCACCAGAGGGAGACAGAGGCCAGCCCAAGCGCCCCCGGTGGGCTGCCAGAGGTCTCTGCCTTCTCCCCCTGCGGCAGCTGGTACTGATCTGACACAAGACAAGCTACTGCCCTCAACATGGTATCGGGAAGTTGATCATGGGCCCCCAGAGACAACGACCTAACCCACAGTTCAAATGAGGCCAAGGCCCATAATGTAAGTTGGGGTAGCCACTGGGGACCCCTGGCACCCATGGTTGGTGCTCCACCTCTAAGCACTGGCTGCTTCCTGACTGACCCCACGGTTTCCCTGGCTAAACGGTGCCCCTAGAAGAGCCGGCTTTCCTGGCAGCTTCCGAATAAAAATCCCTCAATGGTCCTTCAGCTTTGTAGACTTGCTGTAATTATGCCCAGCTTTGAGCAGAAAGAGTCAGAACAAAGTCACAAGAGGAAAAAAAAAAAAAACAGACCCAAAGACACACAGAACAGCAAAGGCAGACAGGGACAAAGAACACATTGCTACTGTGGGCGTGTCCCCCATTTGGGAAAAATGGGCCAGCTCTGATGAACGGCATAACATCAGTGGCAAGCCAAAGACTGAGGAAAAAATATATAACTCCCGGTTATTTTTACTATTCAGTCATGGACAGTTTACTTTCTACTTCGCAGAGTCACCCATCTCCTTATTCCCTGGTCTTCACACCCGCCATGGTGTGGCTGAAAGAGTGGGTTACAGAGCTGGGGCCTGGAGACCCCCTGGCTCCAGCACCAGAAGCTCACCAGAGAAGGTGACAGCTCCCCTGGGCTCCAAACAGCCCTCCACCCCCAGCCAAACCCTAGGGCTCTTGTCTCCTGGAGCTTCTCACCTGTTCCTGGCACCATCACACCTACTCCATCCTGACAGCCCCAGCTCTGGAGAGGAGGTCATCACCTCTATGCGTCCTGGAGGCCTCAGAGGATGAGAGGGGAAGGGCACATTGTGGGATCCTTATTTTGGCTGAGCTCTGACCAAGACTGCTCGGTGTCTGCCCTTGACAGGCGCGCAAGGCTGGGCCAGGGAGCTTCAAGACTGGCTCCTTAATCCCAGGCCACCTGCAGTGGCTCAGGCGCCAGAGTGCGGTTCTTCCCCGTTCCCTGTCTTCCGCATTATCCCAGCCCCATGGCTCCCTGCACAAAAAGACAAGCCCCTCCAGTGAAGAGCGAATGTACAAAAATCTCTGCCTCTCACATCCAAAATATAACCCTATAAAGAATTGTGCAATTGCAATTATATCACAATTATTCTGTTGAAGAAATGAGGTCCCAGAGTGTGGTTCCCAAGTGCAGATTCAGACCCGCCATCCACAGGGACCGTTCACCCGCCTAAGCAGCCCTCCTGCCTGGTGCCCTACCCTCGGGCCCCCTGGTCCTCCCTGCCCCGGGGGCGGTGCTCCTTGGGTGGTGGTACGGTATTTACTAGTCCCTCCTGAACATCAATCTAGGAGAGACCTGCACAACCATGGGGATGTTCTGCCTGGCTCGGCCCGATGCACTACAGAGTCTAGCTCCCTGTGGCCTGAGCGCTTTAAAATAGCACTCGAATGCTAACGGAGAAACTGAACCTTTAGAGTTTAGATTTAAATATAAATAGCGTGCCCCTAGTGCCTAACCGAAATGGGCAGTTCTGTTCAGAATGTGCCAAGCTCAAAACCCCTGCGGGTCAGGGCAGTGAGCCCACCCTCTCAACCCTGGCAGCACCACCACTCCTCCCTCCCTTCAGCCACAGGACCCGGGACACCTGTCCGGACTGGAGGGTTTGCAAGGACCTCCAACCCGGGAGTCGCCCCGGCCTGCACCGGCGAGCGGTCCTCCCCGGCCCAATCTGCGGGGCCCTGCGCCGCCAGGGGCCGCTGCGTGCCAGCTGA